ACACATTCATTTATTGGTGATGAGGCCATGGCAAGAAAGGGTAAAAGTTATGAGACATCTTGATTCCTTACATAACTACTTGATTTTTTTCATGTGTGGTGATCCGTGCAGACACTTTATCGTTACGTTGCCCAATTGATCGTGAAGATGTACAGTGCTGGGATGATTTAGAAAAAATTCTCCAATATATTTTTCAAAAATTTGGTGTTAATTCGAACACTCATCCGATCTTACTTGCCGGCTCTGTCTTTTTACGGAAGCTGAATGCAAAAGAAATATGTCGAATGATGTTCGAGACATTTCAAATACCAAGTAAGATTTTAATTTTTGAAGAAATGAAATTAAGTCAACTACCTAAACTTTCGAACGAGACTTTCATGAAAGTTTACAAAGATCTTACTGTACTAAATATGTTAAATTAAGGAACAGTCAAAAAAAATGTCTCGGAAATTTTTCTTTCGAACGACAATTTTTCATCATTTTATAATTTAGAATTCTACATTGCAAACAATCTCATGATTGCATTATATGCTTCTGGGCGGACAACAGGAACTTTGCTGAAAGTCGGCGAAAATCTCACAGAAGCAATATCAATATATGAAGGTATTCATTATTTTGTCGTTTAATCAACTATAACTATAAATATTATAAAGGGTATTCGGTGGATGGTTCATATGTTCGTCTGAATCTCGGTGGCCGAGATCTTATTGCCTATATGATTAAACTACTGTATAAAAATCATGGTATTGACTTATCCAATTCCAAGGATCACGAAACAATTAGAGACATTATAGAAAAAATGTGCTTTGTTTATTTTGATGAAGATGTAATGTCATCGTCAAGCCATCAAAACACGTATACGCTACAAGATGGTCGTCTAATCGAAATGGGTCGAGAACAATTTCAATGCCCTGAAGCTCTTTTTCAACCACTTTTAGTCAATGTGTTTAGTGAAGGTGAGTATTAGCCGAATTTGCTGGCAGAATAGTGTGAGATTTGAATGAATAGAGTATTGAGAGGTATACCCACAACTGACAGCAAGGGTGTCGGCGCATGTTTATATCAAATTGTCAAGAAGATCAACACACAGACAACAATGCGCACTTCGGCACTCATATTCTTTTTGCTGTTTAATTTATTAACGATCGAGTCCCATATTTTGCTCGATTTTAAACTTACAAAATTTAAGAAATGTAGTCTCAGTGTACTATTCATCACAATGAACACGCTGTATATCAACTAAAGTGCATGATATTTTGGAGAAGATGTCCATAGAAGATTATTATTCATATTTGACCGAATCACATATTTAGACTCTTTGGAACCTTGTTTGAATATATCATAGACGAGTTTTATTTTATTTTCTACGCAATTGTGTGTATAATTTCATTAGTCTGCTTCGTATGCTTTTGGTTGCAGAAAGTTTTTTTTTCTTTTCAGGTGTTCATAAAATGATTTTAAAATCTATCATGCGATGCGACTCAGCCTTACAAGAGGATCTATTTGCAAACATTATCATATGTGGTGGTAAGTTATCTAATTAATTTTATGTTCATCGATATTTTACTTGTAATATATCTGTTAAATATGATATCCACGAGACAGAAGATATCGATAGGAAAAAATCGAGATATTTATTTGTTTGAAATCATCACTTTTGTAATAAGATCGTTTATTTTTGGCGATCTAATTTAGGTGCTACCATGTTTCCTTGTTTTGCCGACCGTTTGTTGGCTGACATCCAGCCATTGGCACCAGCGCGTATTAAAAAAATTGAAATTATTGCTCCACCTGAAAGAAAATTCTCAATCTGGATTGGTGGCTCCATTCTTGGATCACTTTCAACATTTCAATCAATGTGGATCAACAAACAAGACTATACAGAGATTGGTCCATCTGTTGTGGAAAAAAAGTGTTTTCTCTATGACGAATAAATGACATTTGATCAGCCAAAGTTGAGATGGGTGTGGGTGTGGCTGTGGCTGTGGCTGTAGGTGTGGATGTGGCTGTGGGTGTGAGTGTTGGTCATTTGTTCACCCACACCCACACCCCACACGCACACTCCACACCCACACCCACTAGAAAGATATTTTTGTGAAAATGAAGTACTTCAGATATTTACTTCAAATCATTTCATTGTTTCTTCTTTGATTAGACATGCTTATATTGAACGTTTGTGGATTTAATCATATCCTATCATTAGTAATGAGTCATCATTATTTTAATTTATCTTCAAATACTTATTATATGGGAAAAAATTTAGATACTCGACAATATGAAGTGATCTTACATAAATCTTCAATGTCAAAACGAATACGTGCACGAAAAGCATTTAATACTTTATTCTAATCATATGAACGTTTTATGACAATAATAAATACTACAAGTAGATTTTCAGATAGAATTATTCAATCTAAGACAAAGATGCAAAATAAAAAAGAAATTATTGATAAATATTTAGCTGGTTCACTCTATCTATTCAAAATGTAATTTGAAGTAACAATTGGTGATAGTTCTAAACGAACACAAAATAATTCTATTGAAGTTATTAAAGCAGAAGAATTCCAAATTCGAGTCGTATTAAAAATGCATATGGAAACGAGTGTGTCTGTGGATTTATGAAAATTTTTATATTCATTTTCTTAGATGAACAAATTTTATTTTGAACATATTCAACAATGATGGTTAATGAGAAAATCATCAATTTCCAAGATGAGAATTCTCATTCGATATTAGAAAATACTCAGCGAACAGTTTTTTTCAAAGAAGTTTTTAGAAGATTTTCATGTGAACAAAAGAAATTTGTTATTTTTAGCTTTGTCGAGAAGCATCGCATATTATGAATAGAATTCTAGTAACAGTTATAAGCAATTCAGTTCGATGTTGTATTTAAAAAGTTTATTATTTAGCTACGAAAAATCTTAAAATAGACATTGATAAAGATGAGAGCATATCGCTTACAAAAGTAACAATCTTTTTCAATGAAATAGAATGATAAACATTTACAATAAGGCTGGCATATCTACCACGACACCGGCAATTTCTTCTGGGAAGCTAATGAAAAACTTCACGAATTTGACTGTCCACCATTGAAATACTCAGGGATGTAGAATTTCAGTTTGATCCAATGTAATCAGTACAAGGACAGACTCGCTGCTAGTATTATTCGTATTTTTATCATTACTGCACATTCATAGTGATACTCTGAGACTATTAGCATATTGTGAATTTATATCAATAGTTTTAGTTTATCATGATGACGACAGAGGTTTTTCAAGCTTTTTTAAATCTATCATCGTCAAGAGGAAAAGCGGATTATGATGAACATCGCAATTGAAGAATACTAAACAGAAAAAGAAAGAGTTGACCTCAGCTTTTTGACACGAAAGAAAAATTCGATTCGAAAGACAGAGCTTATCATAGGTCTCGATCAATTATAGTATATTATGATGGATTCTGTGCTTGTTAAAATCTATTAGGATCTACATTTTCTTTATTGATTTGAGATTATTGTAAAACTAGTTTGTTTCTGCTAAACTCTAGTTAAATTCAATAGATCTTAATAGATTCTGCTGAATATCGAGAGATTGCAGTAATGTTTGGTACACTTCGGTAAATATATTTTCCAATTCCCTAGAAGTCATCAGCATCCATCTGGCAGAGGTTTAATCGGTTAATAGATTTCAGACGAATCCGGTTTGGTTTAACCAGTGACTGAGATTTGGGTGTGAGTGTGTGAATGTGGGTGTAGATAAGGCGATAATACTCATACCTACACCCAAAGCCACACCCACACCTTTTACAAAATAATCTCTTATATTTTATTCTTCATTGTATTATTAAAAGATTAATATCCCAATAACTTGTTCCCAAATACATTCTTTGGAAGAACATGTGCATTCATATCGGCGAGTTGTAATGTTTATAAAAATAAACATTTTCGTGATGCTTTACAAATAAAGAAATGAAAGAAAAAATCATAAAGCAGTTCTTCTATTTATTCTTGCTCAAGAACATGTATGAGTCATAAAATCATAGAAAGAAAATTTTTCATCCTATGCAACGTCGTCCGTTTAATGCTGTTTGTGATGTACGGGTATGATGCAGTGAAAGACCTTTGGAACGAAAAACTTTTCTCCTACCTTTCAATTGAATTTTGTTTTCATCGATTTCTACACAATTACCAACCATGTTGAAATGTTTCTTCTATTAACAGATTTTTTTCTCGTTTCAAAAAAAAATTTCATTTATAAAGAGGTAAAAGTAGAGCTAATGATATTGCAGCAAATGAAATTTGCTCATGATATTTCCGAGCAAAACCTGTTACATTTCGATTGAATAATTGAACAAACTGTGTGATTGAATCGTGGTATGTAATTATCAAGAATTTGTTTCAGAAGACGAACATTTTCTGTATCATCGACGAAGTTATTATACACAAAACAATCGATTTGAATCAAATAGTAACATTTTTCATAGATCTTATTTGCATAGTTGGAATTTATTTCTTAGACGAAGTGGACTCGAGATTGTATATTTCACCTTCCTTCAATACATCGCCGAAATCAACCTTAATTAAATTATAATTATGACTGATATCCATTTTCATGAGTATAAAAAAAGAATAAGTGACTTTTTAAATTATATTTTCTATGAAAATAACTCTTTTTCTTACTTTAATTTGCGAAATACTATACAGAAGAAGAGTCTTATTCAAGGGAGAAATAGCGAGACTTCACCTACTTCCGAAGTTTTTTGAAGTACGAGGAAGTACGAGTACAAAGAAAGTATGAGGAAGTACGATGGAAGTACGCACTCCTGAAATCTCGCTCCTCCTTCCTTGGTCTTATTTCATTGGAAACAAATTTTCATCTAGAAAAACAATTGAAAAAAAAACAGTATCCAACATGAAATAATTACGCTTCATATTTTTACATGAAATATTTAGCTCTTGTTTTCTGTTAACTTGTAGAGAAAGATATAGAGAAAAAAAACATTAAATGGCATCTGTCACCTCAATTCCAACAACAATCGATGATATTATTCAGCGAGCAAATGAAGTAAAAGTGTGTCAAGATCATTTCAAATTGATCACAACTAGTTTAGCTCGTCTTCGGAATGAATTGAATAATACAATTGAAATATTACACCAAACTCGTTCACAACAAGATCTTACACAAATATTAAAAGCCATTAATGAAATTGTTACGAGTTGCACTCAAAACGAAAATAATCTTAATGGCATGACTTATAAAGACCTCGAATCTATATTGTTTCGTCTTCAATTTCGACTCATTCAACATGAAGTCAATACAAAAGACGACTATCAATTGAGAGCTCAAATACTTAGCAATGCTTACCAAGAACAGCAACGTATTATGCAGAAATCCTTTGATGAGATGACGAAAGAAAGCTTAGAAGCTATGGAAAAGAATACAATAGAACAACTACGTCTGTTACGTGAAAAACACACAACAACAATTGAATCCTATCTTCGCAGTTGTATTGAATTACATCAAAATGAGTCACTTACTGGTCTTACTGGTGAAATTGTTGCCAAAGTTGCTCTTATTTCTTATCAAATATCTTCCGAAGATCAAACTCAATTAGAACTCAAATGGCGATCATGCAAACTTCCACTCACACGTAAATTCATTCAATTTAAACCTGATAAATCTACAGTATTCGAAAGAAATGAATCACGACGATTGTTAAAGAACAATGAAGACACTATGCTACGAACTACACAAATCAGAAAAGAGGCATCAGCAGGAATATGGAAACAATTGCTGTCAGCACCTTACATGATATCGATGGTTGAAAGATATCGCTATTCAAAAGAAGATAATGCTAATGAAGAAACTATTATTCGAACAAAACGTTGGATTAGTATTTCAGGTAATGCAGGAAGTGGCAAAACAAGTTTTGTTCGACAAATTGTTCGTCAACTAGCTGAAACATTTCTACTCAATGAACAACATTCAACAAATTATGGTCCTCTTCGTATACCGATTTTGATTGGTATCAGCGACTTTGTCGAAATATTGAAAGAGCAACCATCACTTACTTTATTTGATTATATTGGAAAGCATAAATGGTTGGGAAACTCAATTATCGATGATGTATCTATTTCTATTGATGATTTATCTTGTGCTCTTCAAGATTACATAAAACAAGGTCAAGCTCTAATTATACTTGATGGTCTTGACCAAATTTCATTTCTCAATCAACGATCAAAAATTATCGATGTAATTCAAACGTTTGTTGATACTTATATTCAAACACCTACGAATGTGTCTGTCTTCGACAATCCATATTTAAGTAAACTGCTTGATGATCCGTCTCGATTTGGAGGCAATCAAATTATTATTACAAGTCGTATAGTTGATTATCATGCTGCTCTAGCTGGACAATTTGCTCATTATACAATTCAACCGATGAATAGGGAACATATTAAAGACTTTATTGATTATTGGTTTTTTCATGTTCATCAACAGATAATCGAGATTGTAAACTCTTCAATAGTTAATCAAGGAAAGATTCAGAGTGAAGCATTGAAAAAAGAATTGGAAAAACCTGAAAATGTTTCTCTTATTGATATGGCTTCTAACATTTATTTAGTATCATTTATTTGCACTCTATGTTTTAATCAATTGGATGGTTCACCATTACATACTCAACGCATTCTTCTATATGATCAAATTATCAATTCTATGCTCAATTTGTCGATTAATAAACGATCCACTATTGAAATGTCAAAATTTATTCAAATTTTAAGCGACATTGCTATTTATATTCATGATTATTCATCATCAGGTCTTATTGATGAAGAACAAATGAAAGACATATGTATTAAATCAATCAAAACTTCTTTGGATAAAACATTATTTACCGAAGAAGATCTTCAGGATATTGAAAGTCAAGCCTTTGAATTTGTACGAATTATTCGTGAAGATACAGGCCTGTTAGTTGCTCGAGGTGAATCACTTTATGGTTTTCTTCATTTGACATTTCAAGAATATTTCACTTGTTTAAAACTTATTGAAGTAGATTCATCAAAACAAAAGAAATTCATTAATGATAGACTCGATCGAGAAAATGAAATTCAACTTATTGCTAAATTACTTCGTCATCACACAAATGATCCACGTTTTCGTATACCAATTGTACTAGCATTAGGCAAGATTAGTTCTTCTTGGTCTCAAAATGATTTTGATAATGTATGTTATGAATTTATTCAAGATGAAATTCAACCTAATTCTCTTCTTCCACTCTGTGCTTTTATGTTAATTACTTGTGTTAATGATTTCGTTAAGTATCCTGCTAATGAAACTCTATTCAAGGCTTTAGATTGTTTAATGATTGCAGCCGGTCAACATAAATGGTCAATTGTTTCTCCATTTCTATTTGATCAAATAACAGTTGCATTAAAAAAAATTCGAAATGATATTATTCAACAATGGATTAACAATTTATTATCACGATCTTCTTCACATGACATTCAAACAATATCGAGTCTTTGTCATTTTATCGAAGGAAAACCTCATGAATTTGAAAATATTAAATGGTTAAATCAATCATCTTGTTCAATACTGCAATCTTTGTCAACACTTGATAGTGAAAATAATGAATTTGCTATTGATCGATTATTAGTTAAAATTGCTTTCTCAAATCATCATTTATTACCTATCGATCCAAATACATTCAAAGGATTTCTTCTTCAAAAAGAACTAGAAGTGAATTCAATTCCTATTGTTCTCTTTCCTTTAATCATTACTTTATATGGTGGTTTAAAAAGAAATGATCAAGCCGTTATTTTTGATCCATCTCATATACATCGAGAATGTTCTATAACAACACCAATTTTAATAACTTTCTTTTCTGGATCAGATCCTAATAGGCAAAATCAAAATTTAAAAAAGTTACAAGAAGAATGTTTAAAATCATTTTTAGTACGAATGAATAATCATGATGAATCTTCCGAATCCATTGATTTATGCATTGCAATTATTTGCTTTTATAACATTGAATATTTACAAGATAATTTAGATATCATATCGAATTCACTTTTACGTAAGTGTATGAATAGATTAAAATATATTTCAATGATTTTACGTCAATTCTATTTTACTGCTGATCGAAATGATCGATCGATGGAAGATGAAATAACAAAATTTATTTCAACTGTAATCGAAAAATTTCAGTATGTTGAAGCAGCAAGAATTCATTTTTTAGATTTATTAAATTCACTAAGAAGTAGTGTAGCTCGTTTACGATCATCTTCAAAATCTATTTTTATGGAAGGAGTTTCAAGCGTTGATAAGCGACTAACATTACATTTGCCTAATTCTCTTCAAAAAAATAACTTTCTCAATAGTCTTTTAGTGACAGATATACAATTTGATTCTAATCAAAAATCTTGTTCATTACTTCATCAGTTTACCAAACTTTTCTGGATATTAGAGCACAATGATGAATACGATACACAATACAGAATGGCAGTTGCTATGGATACAATACCGCAATATTTAGTTTTCCGAAATGATGAAGATCTTTTATTTACAGTAACATTTGTTCCTGCACATTTACGAAATCTTTATATCAGATTATTGAAAGAAAACTTTATTACGATCAATCCAGGAAATGCCACAGTGAATAACAAACCACATCTATATTTTGGTCACATTCTAATCGAATGTTTTATATTGTTATCAAATCCATCGTGCAAGAGACTGTCTATTTTGGCTGCTGTAATTGCTCTGCTACCTTGGTTTCGAATTCATAACTTAGAAAACTTTGGTAGTAGTCTTTTATGGTCATTAGCTCTAGAAGATTCTCGCAGTTTGGGTAGTTTTGAGCTAAAGAGACAACGTCCAATGGATAATCAAACTGGTCAATATACAGATACAGATAAAAATATTTTTGATGGGAAGGATCTAACAGATGAACAGCGGAAAACACTAATTCAACATTATATTGAACAAGAATATGAAAGGCTTCAAAATGCAAAAATCGAAAATGATGAAAAAAACATGAAACTTTATTCCGCATCGATATCTTTAGCACATATTTGCCGTTGGGCTGAAGATGAAAGAAGATTATCTTTATTAGAACAGAGTATAAATGGTGCTATGTCAATTGAAAATAAAATTGCTCGTCTTGATGCATTATGTGCCATTGCTTTTTACGCTCACATAGATTTTGATAAACTTGAAGTAAGTAGAGATATGTCTCTACAAAAAGAAATTGAACATCAATTTAACGAAATTTATCCAGATCTTCCTCTTCTATTACATGCTGCTATTTTTCTTCGATGTTTACCACTACTTCAACATTCACAAATGATTAATGATTGTCTTGAAAATCTCTTTTCTAAATTTGCAAATACTGATCAACGAGATCAACAAGCAGTCAATGAAGCGTTATTACCATATATACAATCAACTTATGTTTTGTCGTCTATTACAAATAGTTTCTCACATGGTTTAAAAGACAATATCAAAACAATACATAATAAATCTGTTGTCTTGAAAAAATATTTTCCTCTTGTTACACATGAAAATGTATCACTTACATTATTTATTTCAATTTTTTTTATTTCGGAATTAACCAACGATCTTCATGACTATATTAAGACAGATAATCGCGAATTCGTCATTGATGAATCAATTGTAACAAAGCTATTCCAAGTCGACAATTGTATACTGACCGAAACACAAGCATTTACAATAACAAATATCCTTGCCTTTATTTCATTATCAGATCAATCTAAACAGTTTGAAAAACTTCGGATTATATTAAGCAATGTTCTTCACCGTATGAGTTGGGTAGAATTGAAGGCTCGTCGTTTATTGGAATCTTGGTTGAAATGGAAAAATTCAAATGAATTATCAACATTTGCCTATCATGCAGCAGTTCTTCTAAGTAACTCTAATATTTGGTCCATCGAAGTCGCTACAATTATGTGTGATATTTTATGTAGTGATAATGATCGCTTTCGTCATAGAGTTGAAATAATTTTCAGATTATCAAGTGATAATGATGTTCGTACAAGTTCAACATTGGGTATTGACATCTTATTGACTTTGTTTAAGAAAAAGGCTCATTATCAGTTAACTTCAGCATCTGCTAAACTTACACTAAATCGAATGATAGTAAATACAACTCTAGACATGCAATTTCATCTAGAAACGATACTTTGGTTAGAAAGATACAGAATTCATGCATTGATAAATCCTGAATATTGCCTCAACAAACCAAGGCCATGGGCAAAGTCTTATATATCTTCGTATTTTTCAACCGATATCCCAATTGATGCATGCTCTTGCGTTAATTTATGTCGACTGTCTAATGATTTGGTAATATATATGTGTGATACGATTGCATCGGGTTTCTTTGTATTTTTGGAGATCGATGGAGATACAACATCTGATGAAGTTTTAGAAAGTCACACTCAATTTATTGCTTCAGTAATTTTGACATTTTTTAACTCAATGAATTCTATTGATGATACACGCCAATTAGCAGTCGACGCTCTTATGAATTTATTTGATACGTCCGAAAAAGAGGCAGTTCATCAAGCAATAGCGTATACCCTTGGTTATGTATGTAACGAACAAACACATAAAACCTTACTTGATAGAATTCTATTAGCGATGACCACCGACGGTGATGAATATTCTACCTATTCTAATAATGTTTTGATTACACTAACTTCAAGTTATGCCTATTGTGCATGTATAAACAAAATTGTATTTGATCAAGACGACATGGAATTATTCTGTAGTTTGTTAAAACATTCGTCGCAGGATGTTGTGAGAGCAGCTCGTACAGGACTTGCTCGTGTTCTAAAGGATACATCATTTCTAGTTGAAACGCTTGGTTTCGATCATAGTCAATGTTATCATGCATTGCTTGGAGCAACTGCATACTTATTTCTTTATGATGTTCAACAAAACAGTGAAAATAATGTTGCAGATTTTATTGAGAAATATCCAGATCTTTTACCAATCTTTATTGTTGAATTATACAATAACATTCGTCATTTTACTACTAAAATTTTACCAGTGGCGGACAATAATTATGTTTTAGATTATGGATATCCTCAATATGTGAAAGTCGCCAGTTTAATCGCTGTACGAATGCCTGCAACATTTTGTGCTTTTATTAAAGATTGGAATGATGGAGATAATTTGAAACGTGCATTATTTTATACTAGTAAACAACATAATTTTCCACAACGTGCTGCTTGTCTAACTATTCTATCGCTGTTAGGTGAGTTAACTGTTGATTTATGTGAGATGTTCATTGAAGCTTTACATGATGATCCACATATTCAAAATACTTGTTACAAATGCATAACACATATTCGTTCTATTAAAGATGAACAAGTCGTTTTGAATCTTTTATTTTCTTATTTGAAATCGAACTCAATGAATGTTCGATATGTTACAGCTAAGCTACTTCTTCATCTTTCTCAATTATCTCTTATTGCATTTCAACAAGTTCAAATAATATTGAATGATGCTATGTTAGATCCTAGTTCTAATGAAGATCTATGGTTAATTGAAGAACAAGACGATGTTTGGATAAATTGCATATATTACTATGCTGGTCCATTGAAAGATGTTATTTGTTCCCTTCTTGTTCAACAAATTATTGGTGATGCAAATAGACCTGTTCGAAGAAATGAATTCAATGATATTGACTTGGATTTCATTGAATCTGAAAAATCATCACGTTTAGCTTCATGTCTTTATGAGACCAAAGCTGAAGAAGACGCAGAACCTGAGAGCCCTCCAACACCGACTGATTTAAGTGACGGTAGTGACGGCTGAACTTCACTTTAAATCTTCTGTAATGAACATAAAACTGATGACGATGAATAACCAATAATTGAAAAGATCATAATCATTAATGATAATAAAAACGAGAGTCTTCATAGATTTCATACTGAACACAAATCAATACAATAAAAAAAGAAAAGTTATCCTATTTTTTAGTTTGTTTCGCACTTTTTCTCTATAAATCAAGAATAAAAACTTATTTTTCTTAATAATAAACAATATTTTTAAACTTAAAGTGAAAAACCATCATAAGTATTAGAAATCATCAAATAAATCTAATAGCAATCAGTATCTTGCAAAAAAAGACAGTTATTCTAAAAGATTTAATTATTAACACATAAGATCTTCCTCCAACTCAAATAGACGGGAAAAAAATCAATAAATCTTTCTATATACGAATATAATTTTCGATTTTGTTTAGAAACTTCGTCAATGACGAAAGTCATGTGGACATTCGCTGACATACACCTTCGATTTTTGTCAATATGAAAGTAAATTAAATATGAATGAAAAGTTTCCAACGCCTACAACATGAAGTTTTGTTCTTCTATATCGTGTCCATAAATTTCATGTATCGTTCTAGATATTTTTTTTTTGGAACAATGACTGTCACAACTAGTACTGATGCACTACCTGCTCTGATCGATGGTGAAGCAACATACCCATCAAGTTAAACAATGTCATCTTATCCTCTAAACCTACAATATCTTAATTTTTATTTCATCGCAAAATTAATGTTTTTCTTCACATGTTGTTTAGTCACATCCAAACTAGATGAATATATATGTGAAAGTACGGCTGATAGAATCTCGGTGAATATTTTTTGACATAGTTCCGATAAATAGATAAGAGTTTTGTGTCAAGATTCAGTCAGATGTGAATTTATTGTTATTGCTCTGATGTTTGTAGAAAAATGTTGATTGCATCCTCATTCAAATCGACTCTCTGGTTTGATTGATATTGACGTTCACAGGTGTTAGTGGATACAGCTCATCAAGTTCCATCTACGTACATAAATAGATCTCATCTGTCTTCCTTTCGAGACGTTCACGCAGTTTACAGAAGACCAATTCCATTTTCGGCATATCGTGGGAAAGTCACTATCTCCAGTACGATAGTTTTCCGGTTCAGAATATGACTCTCATGCTCGTGTGTTTTTCCAAGGAGTATCTGCAGAAAATTCAGTGGATACGACGAGAAACATGACGAAATAGCATCGTCAAGACTCAATTCGAGCCATAATCATCGATCTCGATATCGATTATAGTACTGTTACTAATTCTAGATAGTGTTAAGAAAAACACCAAGAACAAAATTCAAGAATTTGCAAATAACTGTTTCAATAGTTGAAAATTCATACACTATTTATGTTTATTTCCAAAAACAAAAAAGAAACAAAAAATAAGTATTTAGATGTTTCTGAATTTAAAAAAAAAACTATATTTGTATAGGTGTTGGTTGCATCACTTTTTTGACTAGGTCATTACGACATAGACAAAATTTGATGGCTTATTTCTTGGTTTAATCAAGTTTCAGGCGCAGGCTTGAATGATCAAGAAAATTATGCCACTATTGAAATTGCTGCTTTGTTGAAAACGAGTTTTGTGTACTTATTTATTTCTTTATATGACTTTCTTTTGTTTTTTTTGTTTTGTGGTATTGACTGCATGCACAACTAGGTGATGGAATTATTTGGTGGCAGGATGCAATATATTTTAATTTTCGTAGTCTTTCTCATTCTGTCAGATATATTACCCGAGTATTAGAATTCTTTTTCTCTCGTTCCTAGCATTGATAGTATATGTTAGGTTTACTTTCTACGTATGCCTAGTATACTGTTCATCATCTGCGAAACTGTTTTTCCGATTGTCTAGTATTTGTATGCTTTCGTTTGGCTATGTTTTATCCATTATTCATTATAAAGATCTAAATTTTTTTCTTAGCATAGAAAGTGCGGTCTTTTACCACTCAATATTGTGTACTCTTCAATGCATAGGGCTCACTTTGTTTCAATGAACAATCAATATCGCTTTTATTCGGGTATATTGAATTAATTCTTTCATTTTTTTTTTCGACGGCCAATATTTTCATACTGGATATAAGCGTTCGTTAGGATCGACAGGAAAGTTACCCCTCGTTTGACGTTTGTTACTTCAAAATCAAAATCCTATTTTTAAAAGAAAATCAAAGTAATGATTAGATGTCTTCTATCGAATTCCAGAATGCTGATTTTTTTCTCCTTCATTCGGAATCGGGGAACATTTAGAGAGATTTCGTGCGAGTCCTTTCGCGGCATCTACATCAAAAAAGATAGCTTGTGTATGTATTAGCTCAGTACTCCACATTTCGTTGGTGAAAACTTCATTGATGGTCAAAAGAAAGTTTTTCTGTAGCATCCCATGTGAGGCCCGGAAACTTAGCTGTTTTTCGAATATTCAATTTCGATATCTGAAAATTCATTGGGTTGCCGAAAGTCAAGTAATTTTCTTGACAAATTATATAATGTATCATATACTCAGAGAGAGATTCTTAATCGAGTATTTGTTCTATTTTGTCTACTCTGCCGAAACGATTTATTTATAAACTCTCACAGATATTTGAGTATTAATTCTTGAATAATTAAGTAGATACTTAAATTTTGAGCATTATATATGAATACATCCAAACTCAAACTGTCTTAGAGCAAAAGTCATCGAAATCAAGCTCTAATTACATGTAGTATCATTTATTGTACTCATGAGAATATAATAATCATTATATGAAACTGTATGATACAAAACAGGAATTTCTAAGTTAAAACTACAAATACAGTTTTGTGTTCATACGTATCATGGAATAGCTGTTGATAAGTTGATCATGATGTATCATCGAGAGTACTCTGCAAACTGATTCATCACTAACGTGTTGGAAACATATCAGCGTAATAAAATTAAGATTGCTATTTGTAGTGTTTCTTAATAGAAAAAACTTGACAATTGATTCAAAGTTATCTAGTTCAAGTTTTACATCGAGATATTGCACACATGGATAGGTACTAATGATAAGTTTAATGTCTTCTAGTGTCAGTTGAAGTGCTTCAACATCAACAGATACTTTTGTTATCTTGTTGCTGGAGATTATCGTGACACCATAAAATGGATCAGCAAATAACGATAGAGAATGAATGTTGGGTGCAATGCGTAATAGTTCGAGTAGTCGAGAAAAGCCAAGATCATTCCAATCGAAACCTATTCGTGTGAGTTGGGTGTGAGCGAATAAATTGCTAGATCGGACATTAGCAACCTCATCCACATCCACAACCTCTTTTCGAACTCGAACATTGTTCTTCTAAGAGATGATTTTCTATTGTGCGAGAGGTTTAGGTTTTCTTTCTTGTTCAATATTATCATTGTAAATAGAAATTTATATTGAAAAAAAAAAAAACTTGTACTCTTCCACTGTATGCAATATTCATATTCCCTAATACATACATTTTTTTAAAGAATATTTATTATGCAAGAAAAAAAAAAGGATAGTCCATGAAAAGTGCCAACAGAGAGATTGTTTAAAATGAAAGATCATTAAGTTGCTATTAGAACCATATATGAACTGATAGTTTATCAAAACGATATGTAAAATTAAGTTTTTGACAACATTGTATTTGATCAAAGATAGATCGAATATTGTGACAACACTTTTGTACTTCTTCTCTATTAAAACTGTGTGACATATATCGAAATGATGCTGTTTTTAAATGTTTGAATCGATCGAGGAAATCAATCATTTCTGTTGTTGAACACGCATGATATATATGTAAATGTTCAATGTTTGGAAAAATCATGGATAATTTTTCAATACTATAGATTGAAGTATTTGTGAACGATTCACTTATTGTTAATCTCCGGATATTTTTAAGTTTTTTAAAACAAACTCGCTTGAGAAAAATTTTCACTTCTTTTTTGATCGATATTTCACAGAGATTTGACATTTCTCTTAATAGATACATCACTGGAAAATTTTTCACCGATAAATTTAAAACCAAATGTTGTACTCGACAAAGATCAAGAATATTTTTAAAAGTGGATATACAATGAGGGTAATTGATACCTAGTGTTTGAACATGAGGAAAATAATGATTTGTATTATTTGATATTGATGATAAAGTTAGTCTATTAATAGTTTCGTAGAAAATTATATTATCGGATACTGTTGAACATAGAGGAAACTGGAAGTCTTCATCAGCTGTTGTTTGATAAAAGTGTGGTACTGAATAAAGATTTTTGCGGCCACAGGCTACAAACCAATGTTTTTCTTCAAGCCAAAATGAAGTACGAAATGAATCAAGATCTTGAGATTCTAATGAAACTGATAGGTAAAACATGAAATTAAATGTGATAAGATGCTGCAATATCATTTGCCATCGTTGACCATTGACTACATCACGGTTACAATTAGCAATTAATATCAAATGTTTAAGACGAGGCAAGTTTGACATCATTTCTTCTAGCTGATTGATTGAGATATTTGAACCTAAAAATTCTTTTATTATAACGATGATTTAGTATTTTAAGAAACTGACCTTCAATTTCTAGAACCAGTCGTTTCAATTGAGTCAATGGATAAATAAATTGTGTAGTCGAATCATTAAGTTCAAATTTAGTTGCAAGTGATTTTAGTTGTGTTGCTACAGAACTAATATGTTTAACTATATCGACTGAAGATCGCTCAAGTATTAAATGTTGAAGTTGAGGAAATTGGATTGAATTCAAGAAATCTCCATGAGATAATTTCAATCGACATAGTTGAGGTAATATAAACCATAAATATTAAATAAACGGCTATCAAGTTGACCGATATCATTTCCAGTAATATCAGAAATCCACGAATTGGTTCGGCTTGGTTGAGTATAGAAAAATGAATGTAAATTCTTGAGTTCAACCATATTTTGTATAATATTTTCCCATAAATGTGGTCCAATATCAAATAATGTCAATGACTGAAGATAAGTGAATTGATTGATTTGAAAATACGTTAAAAATAATTCTGCTAAACCAGGAGTATCTTCATCATTCGAGAGTATCAGTCCAATGACTCGATCAGGTACAATATGCTTACAGACAAGATCAAAATTAGGTTTTGAAATTGATTTGAAATTTACATAGTAATTTGAATAGGTAATCAATACAGCATCAAGATAGGAGCTAACATTCATAAATGTATAAAAAATTTCATGAGCCGAAAAATAACTGAATAAATCATCGATGAGTTCGACGGGCAAAATATCTAATCGGCAGTTACTCATTATAATGTAGCAGACTTATAAAAAATAAATGTATTATTTTTCATTTATTTTATTCAAAATTGTTATGAAATATGTGTATGCGTCGTCTAATACTTTACCTGCATGCTTTCATTTAAACGCCAAAACAACTCTTGTGTAATCAATAAAAAGAGAACGGTAGTAAAAAATAAACTTTATTTTAATGATTCATCACTACAACCTCTGATATGAGTACCAAAACATTGATTTCTTATCAAGAACATTATGAAAAGCGGAAGCATTTATATATAGAATAAATTATGACAGCTATTCAAATAAAAAATGCAACAATTTCATATAAATTTTCAGTATTTACCAAAACATGAGAAAGAAATTTCCAAGTAATCGAATCGATGACTCATTTATTTCAAGAATATGTATCGTAAGGTGTGGATGTGATGGGTGTTGTTCATTTCTTCCATCAGACTCCATATTCTCACAGACCCACACTCTCAAGAGGATCTAGTTAGAATAATTACCAATAAATTATTAACTAAAGATAACAACAATATTTTATATTATCTTGGGTGTGTGGGTGTGTGTAATTTCTTCAGACGCCGTACACACACACTCACCCCACACCCACACCCTTGAAGTTTATAATCTTTTGAAATTAGCAGCGTGTAACAATATGCAATTTCATTTTATTTCAAGTGTTGCATCGGTTGGTTCAGGTCTATTGCCTATTGTTAAAGAAGATCCTAGAGAATATACTGAGTTAAGGGTACCCGAAAAAGTACCCTGTTACCAGTATGTCACATGAACTTTTGGGTACCAAAGTACTTATAGGTACTTTCAAGTACCTAAGTGGTACTTCGGCAGGTACCCTGCTACAAAATGTAGAGTAACGGGGTACTTGAAGATACTGATCAGATACTCAATTGGGTACTATTGTACAGTATTTCTAGGTACTCTGCTACCAAAATTTCAGTATGTTCAGGATCGAACCTAACCTTTCACTTTTTACATTTTTTTTCTCAAAGCGATTGTTAGGTAGTGGCGCTATCTTTTGTCCACTACCTCATTTTTTCTTCTCTTTCTTCTATGTTCTATTGATTGGTCATCTGTGTGATCCATAAGAATAGATAGATGGCCGGATTGTTAGTTAGTTAGTGTGTTTGTTTTTCCCGAGTAGAAAAGAATAAACTAGAGAGTGTTAGGCAATAGACCTAACAAAATGGATATATTCTGTAATGTATTTTTAAATTCACCAATGTAAATCAGTAAAAATGCATGAAACTAACGTCATGAAAAACATGAAAATGGAAGAAACTTGAATTCATTTCCCTTGATATAACTACCTAGGCAGGTAGGTAGTTCTACTCATCTGAGGTCAGGGAGTTTTACCTGGAGGTTTCAAAAGGTCTGGGCTAGTTGGGTGTCGGTGGATGTGGGTGTGGGTGGGTGTGGGTGTGGGGTGTGGGTATGGGTGTGGTTTTATCTCTGTTCAATCTACACCCACACCCATACCCACACACACCCATACCCACACCCACCCATACCCACACCCACACCCACCCACACCCCACATCCACACCCACCCCACGCCCACACCCACGCCCATACCCACACCCACACACCACAGTCACACCCAATTGTTTGATCCGTCGACAGGAATTTGGACAACTACTGGTACTATGAACGTTGTCCATAAGGACCACACAGCATCCGTATTAACAACTGGAAAAGCGTTAGTTACCAGTGGATTCAGTACTCGTGGTGATATTCTAAGCCATGCTGAGCTGTATGATCCATCAACAGAAACATGGACGACGGCTGGTAATATGAATCTTCCACGACGTCATCACACAGCATCCGTATTAACAGATGGAAGAGTACTCGTTGTTGGTTGGAAAAATGATTATTACTATCTAGATAGTGCTGAGTTGTATGATTCATCGACAGGACTTTGGACAACTATTGACGTTGTGAAGGGCTAAGGCTAAAGATAAGAAAAAAAACGAATTAATAATACGTAAATAAATAAATGAAGTAGAAAATATTATTCCAATGTTCGTTGACATATGCAAGGATTTTGACTTGAAAAATATTTAGTTAATTGAAGGTGATGACTATTGAGCTATGGGTTAGAGTCACAGATAAAAGTGCAAGACCTATGAGATGTTATTGTGTGTTCTCATACCAGCGATGATATAGATTCATCAAACAGCAACTTTTCTATAGAATGATCATCAGTTTCTCTGCAGCAACTAGCGTGAATAATCTCAATTTTCGTTACCTTTTTGGCAAGAAACAAAGTAAGTGCATAATAACCTATAAAAAAACGTCCTTATTTCCAATGTACTTTTAAAGTTTTTTTTGTGTTTATCGTTGGAGTGCTTGCATGACTTGCTATTTTACTGTAAATATGTGCGCATCAAAGGGTTTCTTGGTCAATAAAATCCACATTATAATTATATTTACTTAATTCTCTCTCTCTCTCTCTCTCTTTCTACAAGTGAAAATAAATATACAAGCGCGCAAAAGTATTAATGACAGATGAATTACCTTCATTCGAAAAGATCAAGGAACGACATACACGAAGTCGAACAATAATTAGAATCGGAACAATCCACAATCAAGGACGACAAAATGAAATTTAATTATTACGTTCTGGTCTTTGCATTTGTTATCTTAGGTGGCACGGCTTCGCCTATTCCGTTACAAAATGATCCGAAACGTCCAGTGGCTGATATCGCGCGCGACTTAGGTATTGAACCGGATCAATTCGTCACCTGCTTCAACGGCGTTACACCGGCTCCTCAAGGCAGCGCACCGACTGCAAATCAAGTGCATTCAAACAAGCAGCATCTCTTAAGCTGTCTTCAAAAATTCAATCCAACCATTACCAATGAAAAGTTAGATGCAGTCATGGACAAGTATCGTCCAAGTTCCTAAAAACTTTGGTCGTCTTAATTAAGATGTGTGGATAGGTATCAACACCATTGACTGAAAGGGTGAAAATTGATCTAGTTATAATAAAAGAAATAAATAAAAAACTCCTATGTGCTTATCATTCGTTGCGACCGATCGCTAGTTTTTTTTATTAAGATCCACATGTGATCGAATTCTTTTTGTTTTGCCAGCAAGAGCATTGACGTACGTAGATATCAATGTAAGCAGAAGTAGGATGGGTAAAGTTTGGATAATGATTTCTTTTCTTTACTCTCACAAGTAACGTTCATCGAAAGTCGATTCACTTGGCCCTAGACTGATAGGATAGCGATGAAAATATAATTGTCTATAGCTGCAGAGAGAGATTCATGATGGTTAGCTGTATATAACAAAATGCTATTATGACAATCATTTAAGCTATAGGTTAAACAATTGTCGAAAATATTATGAAGATTACCCTAGGGGAAAATAGCAAGACTTCAGAGTGTGGGGTGTGGGTGTGGGGTGGGTGTGGGTGTGGATGTGGGGTGTGGGCGTGAGTGTGGGTGCGGATATCTTTCTTATCTCTACTCATAACCACACCCACACCCACACCCACTCCACACCCACACCCACACCCATCCACATCCACACTCACCCACACCCTGCACCCTTATACAAGCTCGATATCGTGGACAAGTGAAATGATAATAGAAAGAATTTCTTCTTGGAATTCTTCTGTTTTTTCTCGGACGATAAAGTTATTTAAACTCACCCTCACCCAAGTTCGCATGGAGTTCAACTACGATTATTTCAACGCTTCAAAGGTTAAAATTTGAAGAGATTTGTGTTATATTTTTCTCATATATATATAAAATATAAAAATGTGAGTGTTTTGTACAGTCTCTAGATTGTTTTCAGTGAATTTTGTCCTAAAAATGTAACTTAGAAGAGCTATAGCTATGATGTTTAATTAAAAAGCATCTCTTTTGAGAAGCTACGATTTTGCACATGTATCCCAAAAATAGTAGACATTCATTTTTTGAACGTGAAATAGAGTCATAAGTCAAAAAACATAATTCTTCCTCCTGATTCTGCTACAATCAACCACCGACGCTTTTCATCAATGACAGAAGCAAAAGGTTTCCAGCTAGTTGAAGCTGATATCGGAATTGTATAAGCTGCTATTAGAGTACCGTTTGATGCATAACGATTAACTTGGGGTGAAAAAGGATCAGTCATTGTGACTAATAGATCAGGATCAGAAGAAGCCGCAGACGGAAAAAGAGTAATAAGCAGATTGACCAGGCGCTGTTGTGTTTCTAATTTTATGACTGCAAGTTGCTCACCGTCATTAGTTAGCTGATAGATACATGCACACTCAGTATCGGATATATAAACAACTCCGTCATCTCTCACTTTAACGTCATAAACATATTGTAATGGTGGTGTCGTTTGATAATTTTGTATTATCGTTCCATTAATTAATAATTTAATCACACGAACATTACCACTATCAGCAACATACAGATTACCTTGTAAATCTGTAGCTATGCCATGAGGATTCTTCAGTGGTGGATTGTTTGTATAAATTCTGCCTATTTCAGTACCATTTGATGCAAACATATGAATGTAACCGTATGGAATATCAGCATCTGTAACATATATTTGATTTTTAGTATCTAAAGCTAAACCAACTGGGAAACCGAAATGAGGTTTTGGATTAATAATTTGTGTAACATTAGCAGATGAATTCGTGATGGTAAGCTTTTTTAAAATATTGTAGGCGATATCATCAGTTAAACTATTCACATAAATATCTCCACTATTAAGAAGTGCCACTAAACGTGGTGCAATTAATACTGGATCATGGCTAGAATAAATTTGCAATACTTTAGCGGATATAACATCGAATAAAACTAGTCGATTATTTAAAGTATCAGATAAAAGTAAACTAGCATAAGGTGCAAACGTAAGACCTTGTGGATTATATAGACTATTAGTATACGTACGTATCAATGTACCATTTGATGTTAAAGCAATTATACAATTCGTAGCCATGTCAGCAACATAGACATTTAGATTGACATCAACTATTACTGCTGTTGGTCGATATATATTACTGTTTATATAGACTTGAAGTTGTCTGCCAGTTTGTGAATTAATGACAAATATTCTGCCAGTCGTTGAATCATTTCTATCAGCAACATATAATCTTTCTGCTGTTTTGTCCATAGTTAATGCTGTCGGTTGACTAAGTGGTGGTGAAAAATTTGATGTATTGAATTTATTAATTTGTTCACCATTTTTATTTAAAACATAGATAGATGTATCCTTTGTGTCTGTAGTTGCTACGTAGATATCACCATTGATAGGCGAAATAGTCAATGCTGTAGGAACATAGAAGGGTAAAGAGATATTTTTAATTAGTTGATCATTAGTAGTCCTATATTTGTATATCATTGCTAATGAGCTATAAGCACCCGTTGCAACATATAAATAACCAGCTAAATCTATCGTTAACTTCAGTGGCGAATAGAATTTCGATTGCTCAATAGGTAAATTAAGTGTTGATATGTAAATAGCTTCAGGTGATAAGTGTAATACTCGATTGAATGACATATCAACCATGAATATATGCTGATTTATTGGAGATATAACAATATTAGCAGGAGTCCAATATGAGAGTAGACGAGATGGATAATGTATATCAATACCCAATATGGGGAATAATAGCATGGACAGAATAAGAATAATTAAAACCATTCTATCGGATATTCGACACGAATATCAATCGGTGCTAATATAGACAGCCATTCATTGCAGTTAAACGTGAGTAAATTATCAAAATCTAAATTATCGAAATAGTAATAGTTGCCTTATGTTTCTTGTTTGATAACAAAATTATTTGAAATCATCAAACAAGAATGTCAAAACTACTTCTGAAAATGGTCTTATGAATGAATCTTACTCGGACGTTTTGCTTACTAATAGTTTCGAAACTTGCTCATGAATATGTGTGTAATATATCTACGCAAAACATAAATGCACAAATGATAAGCATAAGACTATTTCGAAGCATAATACCACCAGCTTTTTGTGGCTGGGAACTTTGATCAGATGCTTTGTAATAAACGGTTTTTTTTTCAAACGCGAGTAGAATAACCGTTGTGCTATGAGAAGCTGATCAGGGTGTGGGGTGTGAGTGTGGATTCTCTCTTCATCACCTACCCACCCACACCCCACACCCACACCCACCCACCCACACCCACACCCACACCCACCCACCCACACCCACCCACACCCACACCCACACCCACCCACCCACACCCACACCCACACCCACACTCACACCCTCAATCCGTCATTAGCTAATGCAAGAATATTTGCTACAGAATCAACAATATCTTTAGAATTATGAATTTCATCATATCAATGGGTTAAATCAACAAAAGGTATCATTTGCATTCCAAATTATTCTTCAAAAAAATAGTATATATCAGCTCGTGACTTAAAATCAACTACACAAGATTTTAACCTTGGCCAAATGAGAACGATGATTCATTATAAAAACAAAAATATTTTCTGACGACATAAAACAAACTGCACAAACATTTTTTTACCCCGAGTGAATAAATAACTATCACATGCTTTGGCGTGTTTTTTGTTTTATAATGTTCATGACCATTTTTTTCTCGTTCTTTCATTTTACTTATATATGTATAACGCAAAACAAGCAAAATAAAGAAACCATACATGATTGGTTACCTTGATCAGTAGCTCACAACAACGGATGTCGTTTCAAAATATACATATGCACAAATAAACAGCAACGACGAACAAAAAAATACTTGAAATTATTTTAATTCTCATAAGAAGACAAAAAAAGGAAAATGGAGCAAGGTACTTTAAACAGTTTTAAAAGAGAATTACTATGCAGCGTGTTGAAAAAAAAGAGAAATGCTTCTCTTCTTTTTTTTTTAAGTAACATAATAGATGGAAGAACTAGCAATGCAAACAACGAATAACTGAATCACGCAGTTCCTCTTTGTTGCGAAATAATGTAGCGATAAGGTTTCTTATTGAAATCTGTAGAATAGAGTCTCGTAGAGAAATGTTGTATGTTCAAAATGTATTGTCGAAAATTAGGTGAAGTCGATTTTTCAAAGATAGTTAAATATTTCAACTGCAAAAATTTATTTTAAACTTGAAATAAGATTTAGCTTGATGATTTCTATCAAGTATTTATTTTAGATGACGTTTGAGAACGAGATGCAATCGAATTTTAAATACAAGAATCGAATTATTTTCACGAGTTAGAATCACATTTGAAACATGGAAAGATTGAATCATCTGTAATTTGGAAGTGAACATGAATGTCGAGTATATAGCTATCTGATAAGA